TTAATCCAAAAATTTATAGTTATTATGTATAATTTCTTTTATCAATAATTTTATAATTTCATTAATACTTATGTATTAAGACTTGTACATATATACATTCTCCTATGAATGTTTATTAGAAGACATTTATCTTGATTTTTCCTATGAATGTATATATGTATATACCTTCAATGAATGAATATATTCTTTATTATCTTATTTTTAGGTATTTATATAGAATGTAATTATAAAGTTTTCAAAAACTTATTATATTTATATCTTTTGATTTGAATCATTATTTGCTTCACTCATATACTTAAATAGTGCAATGCATGTAAGAATTATACAATAAAATTCTTAAGTTAATACAAAAGTGTCATCTTACATACCTTATAATTTTAATCTTTAGGTATTGTGAGTATAAATTTTCACTCCTCAATCAAAGTTGTAAGATGGCATCAATTAAGAGTTTCTTGTAATTGGTGTTGTGAAGTGAAGTAAACAAATAACAAGAACAAAAGAAGAGCAACCACAAAGCAATTGAGATAAATGACATGAAGCAATTACAACACTCAAAACTAAGTCACAGTCTATTTGCTATGTTTTCACCCATTATAAAGTAAAAAATAAAAAATATATTTTTAGATATTTAATTTTATTATCTTTCCAATGGCATAAAAAACATGTAAATCCGAATTACTATGAATATGTTATGAAGTTTAAAGATATGAAATAAATAATTAAAAAGTGAAGTGAAAATATTTTATCTTAAAGATAATTTGCTTATAGATCAAGGGTTCGAGCCTCACTAAGGCTCACATGTAGTGTATAAGGTTGTCTAAGAGAGGCCACGAGGCCTTAGTCTTATCATCCTAACTATCTTCAAAGTGCTATAACCCATATGGAACTTGTCCACTTCCCTTCCTACAAGGACTACACTAGCTGCTGGTCCTCCTAATTTCTACTAGAAGGACCAATATTTTTGCAATTTTGACCTCATCATGGTGTTTAAAAACACCGAATTAGCCTAGGTACCAAGCGAGGCCTTCAAATCTTGCTCCATTTCTTCATAAAGGCTCCCAAAGTGGTAAAACTCATTTTTACCAAGATCTTGAAAATTGCTCTAAAAATTCCTTAAAAAATATAAATAAATTATAAATGAATTTTAAAAGTTCTATAATATCTCTATAATTCTAATATTCATCTAAAGCTATATTTTCTAATCTTGGTGATTTTTTATAATAATAAAAATCAATTTAAATCTACTATAAAACTTATTTTTTTATATCAATAACTAAAATGACATGAGGTTCTTTCTCATGCTTCTAACTACTAACATTTATAGTTTTTATAAGTGGTACACATAGATAAAAGACCAATATAAATATTAGTCTTCATAATAGTCCTTAATATTCAACAATGAATTAAAATACTAAAGCAACGAAGATAATTGCCTCCAAGACTTACTCAAATTCCATTTCCACCACTAACATTCTAATTTTCTATTTCTCTAAGGATTTCTACACTACTCACTGTATATTGTGATTTAAAGCATTCTAAATGCATATTTTTATTCTAAAACAATAAGTGAGTAAATTTGATGATTCATAGGTATATCCTATTTTTTTATGATTTTTTTGTGATTAAGAATTGAATATGAATTTACTAGATTTTAATCTCAATACATTATAAACTTTTTGTTTACTTCATATTGAATACTTTTGATTTATTTTATATTTTTATATTGAAATTATTAAATTTAGAGATTTTTATAGCCATAATATGAATATGTTGCTTATCTTACTTTCTCTATTATATACCTAATTTAATTTTTTTATATATATATTCTATCTCTTAAATACATATTATCTTATTATTTTATTAAATCATTATATGAAGCTTATATTATTATTCAAGGTCCTTGGCATACCTTTTCATAGAATCAAAAATAAAATTACAAAAAATATCTCATCTAAATTTGATAAGTTTAAAATTATATAGCATTTATTATAAAGGGCATACTTATGTATAATTTTGGAGGAAATGCATCTAATGAAAAAACTTGGAATAAAATAAATTTTAGAATAGAAATTAGGTCCAATCTCGAAGATTATAATAGATTGATGTAGAAAGTCATTTCTAAGTAATATAAACAACAAACTTGACAACATCAAAGTTTTGCTTTGCTTTAATATCTGGAAAAAATATGGATGACCAAAGAAATATTAGATATTAGACATAATAAATCCGTAAGGCAGAATTTAATTCCTCCTAATGGAAACATCATTATACACAATAGCTTAGCAACTAATATACCATAACATTTAATCTAGCAATTGTAATAGTGCTTCATCCATTGCCCAATTTTTTAAATCTCATGTCTTTAAATGTCATGTATTTACCTTTCTAATCAATGCATTAGTCTTATCTATATCAAAATAATATTAATAATAATTAATTAATTGACTCCATAGAAAATTTTGGTTTTTGTCCACTTGTAGTGACAATGGGCGATATATTACAAAGCCCTTTCACTAACGACAGATGCATGCTTTTAATAGACGATTGGTGATGATTCGTGATCGTCCTTCTGCACAACTGCCTAGGTTGTAACTTTAACATAGATAATCGCCCAACTTTTCATATAAATAAATAAATAAATAAAAATCAAGTCTAAATGTACTTGACTCATCAAAGTAGAAACATATACGTGATGCACAACTGCCTAGGTTGTAACTTTATCATAGATAATCGCCCAACTTTTCAAATAAATAAATAAATAAATAAAAATCAAGTCTAAATGTACTTGACTCATCAAAGTAGAAACTTATACGTGAAAGTACACTTTTCTTATATTTGCTTTGACTTGCTGATCAGGTTGTCTTTGCAACTGTGACGACCGAATGTGCTGAAAGACAAGGTAGCACGGCATTTTTGTTTCCACCACCACCAACATTCCCCTGAATTTAACGATGGAGTTTGAAATCTCTGAACCTCGCTGCCATAAAATCCTGACATTTTGACTTGAGGTCATTTAATTTTGGTTGATCCCAAGGTCGATATCATTGCATGATGTATTTCAATCACGGACTTAACAAGTCATTTTGATGAACTCCTCCAGTACTTATTTGATACTTCGTGTAGCATAGTAGATGACACCTCAAAGCTTGTTTTGTTTTTGGCATTGTCATTGTTCTGGCAGACTAAGGTCAAGGTGGACCAGCAAAGAGCAAAAAGCAAAAAAAAAGAAAATTATGCTGACTTGATCTTTAGACCACTGAGACAGAGTAAATAGAAGTTGGGGATGACGAGCTCTATGATGATGCTGAATATGTTGACGAGGATGACGACGAAGAAGACGGTCAGAAAGTAAATTCCTAAATCTTTCTACAACTCAACCAATCAACGTGTACTAGGAGCATGCATTTAGTTTATTTGATTAACTAAACCTGACCTTGAAATGCTTTTGTAATTTGAACTTGCAGGTTGGAACTCTAACGCAAATACAAGCAGAACCAGTAGCGCCACTCCTCGGAGATGAAGTGAAGAAGCTTTCAGCGGAAAGACAGGAAAGTTGAGATAACTAGGTTACATGCAGAAATTAGATTGGCAGATACTGATCGAAAACCTGGTAGTACATGAATTAGGAGCTCCAACACCTGTTTTTTCCGGTTTACCAGGTTTCTGTGAGGCCCAGGTAGTTCTCTTGAGCCACATCTTTCCTTCTACATTTCCAGTTACTTTGAGAAACGTTGGCTGGCACGACATGTAGCATCTGCAGCCTGGAGAAAGCTCAGGACTTCTTTCCAGGAATAAACAAGTAATGACATATGGCAGCATATGAACATAATGCGCTGGCAAAGAGTTACGAAATGATGGGGTTCGATTTGCAGGAAAGTTGTTATCGGAGGCTCCGGCAATTTTTGGCGAGACATGTTTCTTTTGTTTGTCTGGTGCTTCGGAACTGTTGACTGTTAACTTGATTTTGACTTCGGTTTTTACAACTCATATGTTCTTCACTTTCCTAAATATTATCATCAACAAAGATGTGTTACCAAGTCCTTTGTCAGAAGTTATGGGTCATTAGGTTCTACATTAGGTGTTTGAATGAAGTCTCTCAATGAAGTGTTTATGTATCTCTCGCGATGATCAACTTGTGTTTGTGAAGTTGAAGACGGAACTGAAGATGATAGAGGCTAAAGATGCTTAAAGTCCAACCTCACCAAAGGTTTAGGGTAAAACTATCAGCGGGGTAAATAGACTTTCGATCAGCAATTTTTCCTTTTTGATGGTACCAGTTGAAACGATTTTCAGCACAGATTCTTTGGTGAAGAAATATTTTTACTACGAGTGAGTAAATATTCTGATGACTTATCACAACGTGTTTTTCTCTATATAGTTATGAAAATAGTGGAGGAATTATAACCCCTGACTTTGATCCTGCTAACCCTTCCAATGCATTGCTACAGGAAGGACATTCAACCTGAATCATTTGGAGATAATGTCAACTAAACAAGAGTTCACTCAATAAAAACAATCGTCTTCCGACAGCTATCTCCACCAGTGTAAAGCGAAATCTGAATCATCAAATGTTTTACGATTTTATAAACATGTCCCCAGCGATTACTCGCTCAAGCCTCACTACTTGAATGACGTATTGAGGAGCCCAATCCACACATGCCCTCTTTGACACTAAATTACTCTTGTGAAAAACACTGAAGACGAAATTGCTGATGAAGCGACTTTCATTGTTGCAAGTCCACGAACTATTCAATGACATGCCAACGTACAACCATTTCAAATATCATAATGTGGACATATACCAACGCCTCTCATCCACACAACCTACAATTTTATCTCAATACATAGGCGGAATAGCTTATTATTTTAATTGGATTGTCAACATGCCTCTGAAGAGGGCATCCCAATTGTGTCATCAAAGTTAATCAAGTACTTAATAACGATTATACCTCAATGGACAAAATCACATGTACGCCTAGAAATGATATTACAGAATCTGATAGTCTCAACGCTGAAAATTCATGAGGCATACATGAGGAATTAAATTTTACAAGCTCGATTGCAATGAGTTGCAGAATGGATCATATTAACAAAAAAAAGTGGACGTTTGCGCAACCGAGGAGGTATGAGGAGAATCGTATATTCTAGCACCAATCTGTCCTCAAAGTCTTCCAGCCCTCAAAATCCGGGCTTGTAGCACACTTGAATCAAAGAAGTCCTCTAATTACGCCTCTAGTTTCGGCTCTGGTTTTAGCGAGGAACGCGGAGTCCCTTGACCTTGAGCCCATATAGGTCTTTCAGGCTCTTTTAATGGCCAGTCCATATACTTATTCCACGAGATGCAAGATTCATCATTCACTTCGGTGTACCAGAGAGAGAAATGAGTTATGTTGTATTCTTTGCCAAGTAATATTTTCCCGTGCTCTGCTTCCACTTTCGCCTTTGCTAAGTCCAATTCTTCATCTCTCATGTGGCAATATAGAAGACTTACATGCGGCTTGTATTCTGTCACACGGAAAATGACTCAAGGTTGTCGATAAAAGGTACCACAATAATCCATACCGCATGAAAAGCAAGGATTACCCGAAGTTCACTCATTAAGGAAATGTAGCTTTACTGAGTCATTTAATCACGTCTGTTCGGAGAGCTCATGAGAAACACACAAATCAGGTCGCTACGTCGCTAGCTTTCATGGAAAACGCAGTGTTGATCACTCAACACGTGTAATCAACAACTTAAAAATTCTCCTAATTTTAGATATCGAATAAATTCTCATATTTGAGAACCTCCTCCCATCACTAGTTCCAATTTTTTATACTGAAATAGCTGGTGTACCAGTGCCCTCTGTTTTACACCTACCTTGGCAGGTTTGTGATCAAAATCTGAACTAATATCCTACTACATAAGAAAGACGCGAAACACTGTAGGCATCAATTAAGAAGGTGAGTTTACCAGAACATATCCCTGTAAATTGACGATAGCCTTGTGACGAGTGAATATTTGCAAAGATCGCACGGAAACAATCCTCTCCAGATCAGATTCAAGAACAAACTGTGCAGATGTACTAGCATACCAAAAGCATAGAACAGTGACTTGAAGAAGAAAGGTATCCATTCAAAGCACAAGATAATGTTATGTAGAAATAACACTATAATTGGCGTGCTCACAGTTCCACTCATAAGAAAAATACATTACAAGGCCTGAAAACAACTGGAGAATCCAATGCCACAATTTCACAAACAGATGAAATACGCAGAAGCCATGCAGAGACCCCAAGAAGAGACAACTCATATCCTCTGCTTGCCTTTTGCAAAAGAAATATGAGACAGCGAACAGGAGAGGCTCACTTTCTGTGATCTCTTCAAGATTGCTATCCTCCTTGAGCTGTTTAAAGCATTCTAATGCTTCTACATGTGCTTTAACCACCTGCAAAACCGCACAACATATTTAGCTTCAAAATTTTATCACAAATACAAATAAAACGAGAAATCTGATACCAGGAGTGTTTAGTGCTATGCGGACATGAGAGGAGTATTTCTTTTTCTTTTTCTTCCTTACATTTGATGAGTCGAACGGTAATTGGGAAATTTAGGACAACCATTAGAAGTGCACTCATCATGGAATGAATGACTGAATCAAAACGCGATACCTCTTGGGTTTTATCCATGAGCAGGTAGATGCACTGATGGTAAGTTGTGCCACTTTCAACTCTCAAGACCTTGAGGGTGAAGGGCAAAGTGCAGTCACAGAGCGCCTTTAAACTGGCCTCTGCTTCTTCAGGAGAACTCCAATGGTGACTCATAATCGTCACGTGAGGTAAAAATGCAGGGCCCTCATGCTGCTCCATCAGCTGGGTCATTATTAAATGCAATGTTGAGTCGTAGTGTGCAGGTTCAGCCCAGACTGAGAAATATCCTGGTTTCGGCGGAGGTGGAGAGGGAGCAGGAGGAGGAGGAGAAGGGGCCGCCTCTTTCTCTCTATCATCCTTATCATCGGCTTTCTTCGAAACCTTTTTCGCATCCTCACCCGCCATGGTGTCTGATTCTTTAGACGTAATAAATTGGTGAACAAATGGGGTTTTGTCTTCGTTCTCTAACAAGAGCTAATCAAGATTATAAAATCTATTTGTTAATCGTGTACCCGCTGTTCGAACGAACGGTGGGCTTGCAAAAGTCATAAAGTACTCGTATAGATTTCAGCTGCAGTTCACTTCCTGCACAAGAGATAACTGCGCCGCACACAAACTAATCACCAAGTCGTGCAGACCGGTCATTCCCCCAAAACCAGCAATTTCCATACAGAGCAATCCCTGCAATGAATGTAGGTGCAAACCTGTAAGATTTCTATGCAACTTGACCTAGCTTTTAGAACACTATCCCAAAAGCTAAAAGTAAATGATGCAAAACATGGCTCCATTTCTTTGTTGCGTGTTTGTGGATACCCTAGAGCCTTCAGCTGATGCATGCAAAAGTTGGAGCTCAGAACTGCTACATGTTTGCATTTCTAAAGGGAGATGCTTGGCCTATGTTGAAATTTAGTGACCACGAATGGGACGTCACATACTTCACACACGCATAGATGTTCAAATGACAACACAAGCAAAGGTATCGCTTTCCGACAATAACCCCCCAGCTCGATAACCTAATATATTCTTGAAATCATAGACAACGACGAGAGATGTGACACAACTTAGAATTAATGCCACCGGTAAAAATTTGTAGAACTGAACTGAACTGTCCTGAGAATCTTGTGTTAGGTATTCGTGCATTAGGACAACCACATGCTCCGGCGCACAGCATGAAATCAAGCAGCTTTACGCTCAATCCTTCAAATCTCATCCCCCAGATCCAGTACTAAACCTAACGCCAGAATCCGAAAGTGGATCCACGCAGCAGGACACAGAGAAAAACGACAAGATAATGATCAGGAACAGAAATTATCATCGAAAAATGCAATAATACCCAATAAAATAAACACGGCGACGAGGACACACATACACCCGCCGAATTGAACGCTTGCCACTCAGCAGTAGGTGCGATTGATGCAAGAACACACGTGTCACCAGTTTCTCTGACACCATAGTTCGATGTCCCGGCTCTGACATTGGCTTGTGGTTGATGAGGAATCAATCAAATGCTTGTCAGTGGGTGACTGGGCTTGCCTTCCGGTTCCAATTTGCCTGACGCCGCAGGATCCTCAATCTCCCTCCACCTCGAAGCTCCCTCCTGCTCCCAGTTTCGCATGCAACCGTAGCACACGCCCTAAGTCACCACCCACAGTGGAGATCCGTGACTTCCCCTATATCATCTGCGACACTCCAGCAAATCCTGCACCTCCTGCAATAATGTGCGCTTCCGCCTCGCGCCATGCCCACTTCTCTGGGTCAAATGAGAATAAAAAATAAGAAAAAAAACCTCCTGAGAAAGGCAAGCTAACTCAGGATCCTTCGCATCTGCGCCTAACTTCTGGCATCATACTCTCTGTCTCTGGTACAAATCCGGCTCATGATCCCCTCCTCCCTCCCTTGCAACAAACTCCAACCCACTTGCCAGAATCAAGACTTCGCCATGACATCATGTAGACTTGAGTCAGTTAAGCACTTTTTCGGAGGCTGGTGACCATTTTTCCAGACGGCGAATGAACCGGCAGACGCGTTGATCAACTGCCTCACTTTCTCTCTCTCAGTGCAGGAGCTCTAATCACACCCCTACGCCATCGTAATTAGCGTTAATTACATCCTCTTGATTAGTGTTAATCACTCCGGCGTATTCCAGCCAGTATTTGTTGGGTGATGCAATGAGATTCTGGGTCACAATTCAGTGCTGCAAAGCTTTGTGTCCACCGAACACAAAGAATGGAAATAAGCCTCACATGAACAGTCCCAAGTCACTGCATTCACTGCATCATCAAACTTCAAAAGATGGATGTTTGTCTTGAAATAGTTAATACAATTACTGTATCTTAAAGTGATTAAAATTTTTAAAAATGTATTTTGTCATCATTACTATTATAAAATATGCCCTTTACTCAACCATGACAAGATGTGAAGTTCCAAAAGAGAAGCAGAAAATGAATTGAGTCTTTAATGCAATTTTTAAAACTTTTTTCTTATTTTATTATTTAAAAGGTAGTTGTGAACGAAAGGAAAAAACTGCTTTCGATTTATAATTATTGCAAAATAACAAAAATAAAATACATATAACCAATTGGCATATAAAATATGACAAGATATTGCATAAAGGGATAACTTGGAATGACCAATCAACCCCAAAATATGTTTATCTACTCAATTTTGAAGGACATTTGGCATTCAACCAAAAATCCTCAATTCTACAAGAAATTACCATTATTCAACCAAAATATGATTTGAAATATGAAAAGGAGACCAATAGATATTTAACCCAATAGTTTTAGAGCAAAGAAATGACTTGAAAACCACAAAAGACCAATGTCCCAAAAACAAATATTTAGTAAATTCATGAAACTAGTATCTGAAAATATGTTTCTAACTAGGTATGTATGTATATGTATATGCTATAATATCTTGTATTGATTGTGATGGAAAAATCAATAATTATTTTATTGCTAACTTAGATTAAAAAAAAGAAGCAACTAAAAACATTTATGTAAAATATTACATTATTATTGTTTAATTTATTTAAATAAAAATAAGTAAAAATCGTGAGATTTATGCACGGCATTTCATGTCAACGATTTTTTTCATTTTGAAGGTTATATGCATTCACCTTTTATTCATGAATGTAAAATCAATTTACCATATTCTATTTATGTATATGTATATATATATATATATATATATGTGTGTGTGTGTGTGTGTGTCTATGTGTGTGTGTGTGTGTGTCTATGTGTGTGTCTGTGTGGTTTTCCCTTCTATATATAATAAATATATATTTAATTTAGTTTTTGTGGTGTATTAGTGAATTGTGTTTGTGTAATTTGTGGTTACACTTTCATATTCTACACTATTAACATTCAATAACTTGTTTCAACATATTTACTACCAATACAAGAGCTGCCAATATTAGTACATGTGTATGCATGTATAATTATAATTATGAGGATCGTCAGAGGTGTTGGATCTCATTTATCCCAAATCAATAGCAAGGATCTGGGTGCTTGCACAAGTTCAAAGAGATTGCATTGCTCTGCAGTTCATTAACAAAGAGTGGAAAATATGGAAATGCTGCTAGCCAAGACAAAATTATAAATAATAATAAGAAAAAGAAGAAACAAAAAAAAAGGGTTAAAACTGGTACCATCCAAATCCCTCCAAAATTCTTCACAGCCCCCCAATCGATCAACTCACAGATTTGCTTACAAATCCACCTCCAAGCCTTGAGCAAACAAACACTGTTGAGCCTGTGCTCTCCTCTATGATGTTATGGCTCAGAGCCTAAAGGATGACACAGTCTTTCAACATTTATGTAGCAAAAAATAGAAAATGAATAAATAAGTGATGCAGACAAGATTCAATTCTATTTTACAATTTCAAGGTTTTGTCAACTTTGCAGGCATTGGGCAAGCAGCAACAATAGACCACAAGTCCACTCTTGCTTTCATAACTTTATTGGTACTGTGATGCATTAACCTCAATTGGGGTCTCATTCTGCAGTTGAAACTTGGTCATTTGGACTGTATTCCTTAAAGCTCCATTGCTTGGCAGGAAGCCCCCGTTTGCTGATATCACACTAAATTTAGATCAACTCCTTTCTAACTGGTATCTTAAGAGAAGATGCAGTTTTTAGGGGAAAATTATTTGACTGTTGGGATGATTGAGGAAGCCATGAGCTGAAATAAAATCTGGTACATTTTCAGTAACATTAGACTGACTGTGCTCATGGTCTTGCTCAGTTAGTTAGTTAGTTTATTTTATTTATTACTTTATTTTTCATCAAAACAGGGTGTACCCAATTCATTGATAGAATGAAAGTTACAACATTCAATTTAACTCCTGATACCCAATTGCATGGAGTTAAGAGTAACATGTAGCTATTCCTTCTTGATTTACTACACTTTTGTGTATTATCACTTTTAAAGTACCTTCTAACTACCATGTCAACTCTAAAACCTAACAGACGTTTTTCCATCCACAATTTGTCCCATCTCTTGAGTAAGATTGCTATGTGTTGGTCCAAGTTTGGTTGCTTTAAAGCAACAAATATAAGCAATTAAATAAATAAAAGCTCCCAAATATAGATGAAAATGCAACTACATATTCTGTTTGAGGAGTATCACAAAATATGTTACCCTGATTAACTCCTGCTCTAAGTGAGCTTTGTTTAGGATGCCATTTATTTTTATTTTTGTAATTGTCCTCTGTGGTCAATGATTGGAAGCAAGGGATTGTTTGTTTATGTCACTTTTGGCAAAAGAAATTTTAATGTGTTGGGAATGTGACATAGTAATGGAATGCATAAAGAGTGGTTAGCTATGAATTTGGGGCCTGAAATTGAAGGGAAAGTAACTTTAGTATACTGATTTTTTTTTTATAAAAGAACTGCAGTGTCCAATTCATCAAAAATCTAAACTTGTTATTAATATTTTAAAAATCATCCAAAGAAATAAAGTGTACTTTATCATAGTAGAATGCATTTACTCATTTTGCAATAGACAGAACAAGAAAACAACTGTTCACCTTTGAATAATTGTCTTTTGGGGACTATATAAAAGTATACATAAAAATAATATATCTCAATAAAAATAAAATAAAATAAATTGTTGTTCCATGGATGAGTCTTTTGAACATTGTACCCAAAAATAGCTCAAATTTACAAACAAGACCAACAAGTGACACCATGTGAAATAACCATGTTTTTTTATCATCCACCTTCAAAAAATTTGATATACAAATACCAGCAATCAATGTGAAACTATCTCTGCACAATGCAAAATCTTGTGCTAATTTGAAGGTCACTAGAGAATTGTATCACAACTTCAACATTCTAGTTTAAGTTGATCAAAAGGATGCAGTTGCAGTATTATTTCATCTATATTAAAGTGGTTTAAACAACAACAAAGACTTGTGTGTATAAAGAACCTTTTTTCATCCTGCAACTTCAGATGGACCTTTTATATTGTTTTTTATTTTATTTTTTAAAACAATTATAAAATGTAAATCAAGACTAAATGATTTCTCTACTTATTGTTTTTGCACCACAAACTGATTCTGACCTTGTAACCATGTGTTGAGAATTTGTCCTCATACATCATCTTGTTCTGAATTCTATTAAATTAAGGGGAAATTGATGTCTATTAAACAGCTTTTTGCTATTCAGCATCTGTAGGTTCAATTGTGCACAAATATTTTAAAGTGGAGTTAGGTGTGCAAGGGATGACATTCATAGCTTCAAAATCCTTGTTTGTACCCACCTCTGACACATGTTTGATAAATAAACCCCTTGTGTATATGTCATTTGAATAGCTGGTGAGAGTTGGTGAGAGTATATGGGGAAGTTTATATTTACACTTGGAAGGTAAAGTGTATAAGATTTTGCAATTGTTGGAATAATGTGTGCAAATTTTATTTAAAAAATATATAAAAGTAAAAAAATAAAAAATAATAATTTCAAGTATATTTTCAAGATATTAGTTTTAGTTTAAAATCATCTTTTAAGTGAGTTAAAGAAAATATATACGTATTTTTTTTTGGATATGAAGTTCAAAATGTGAAACAAAGTGGCATAAATTAAAACTCATATCTTTTATCTACAAGGGAAAATGTCATTGTCCTTGAATACAAATTTGTGTGGATGGGATGTAAATTAAAAAGGGCCATCATTCAAAATGAATTAGAATCAAAATAAAATATTTCAATGGATAGTGTAGATTCTGGTTTATTTCATAAGGTCTAATATCTTTCACTATTTCTAAAGTTTATAATTCCTCAAAGTATATGAAATTTTGGAAACGTTTCTTTCCATCATATATAGTTTGTGAAGTACATCAATTTATGCATAGAATCGTTTAATCTGTAATATGAATTGGGGTAAAAAGCACGTCAATTCTGTAAATTTATAAGAACTACAATGAAAATATAAACCTAAGTTCAAAATTGATATTAAAAAAATCACATTGGAAATGCTTATGTTTTGGAAGACTGTAATCAAAAAATAAAATAAATGACAATAAAACTCTCCAAAGGAAGGCATTATTTAACTGGATTTTTAAAATTCAGTTAAATAATGCCTTCTTTTGGAGAAGTTTAAAATTCAGTTAAATCCAGTTAAATAATGCCTTCCTTTGGAAAATTTGTATGAATTTTATATATATCTGTTGGATTTGCAAGTCATTTGATACGCCACGTGGCAAATGGAATTCAATCTTAAAATTTTTTTGGATCTAAAAATTATACCAAGACTTGAATAATTTTTTTTGCAAGATGTATAATATTTGAGAGGTTTCTAAATAAACTTCTTGCAAGTTAATATATAAATACAATTAAGGTTGAGACCAACTTCAATCTTGTTAGTACTTCTTTTACATTATGGATTTGCATCAATTAATAATCTTAACAATTGCTTCAGTTTTCAACACAAATCTAGGTATTATTTTACATTGTATCATAATGTAATTTGCAACATATTTTAGCTTTAATTTGGGATCAAGCAATTTCACTCAAAAGTTTATAAAATAAGAAGGTGCTTTATTTTGTAATTATTAACAAGATTGTTTGATACACAATTTTTTTTCCATATATATTCACAATAAAATTAATTTTTAAATTTTTAGTAATATAAAAAATTACTAGAATAAAAAAATTATGTATATATATATTCATAAAAATTCAAGTTATAGAGTTCTTAGAAAATCCTTCTAAAATTCAGATTAGTTTTTTAGTATAAACACTAAAAT